TCTAGGACCCCCCGCAGGGTCCCAGTTCAGGGGCAAAAAGGGATTAGGGTTTAGGGTTTAGGGATCAGGGTTTAGGGATCAGGGTTTAGGGATTAGGGTTTAGGGTTTAGGGATTAGGGATTAGGGTTTAGGGTCTAGGGATTAGGGTTTAGGGTCTAGGGTTTAGGGTTTAGGGTTTAGGGATTAGGGATTAGGGATTAGGGTCTAGGGATTAGGGTTTAGGGTCTAGGGATTAGGGTTTAGGGACACCGCTTCACACTTCACACCCCATGCCCAAATTCTACTGAAATGGCAAGCACAGCGGCGACGCGCAGTCGCCGACCCATCTTCGCCGAGGCCCTTCTCCAAGAATTCCAAGAGATCCTCCAAGAGCATACCTGGGAACACCGAGAGGGCCCTTCCTGATGACCTCTTCGATTTCAGCGTCTTCTGGTTCTGTGAATAACGCGTGGAATTCTTATGCGTTTGAACGGATTTGTGCGGCCGGAATGGACGGCATGGCACTTCTGGCGACCTCGGGAAAGAGTTCTGCGGGAGCATGGGTTATGAAAATTGCGCCGAAAATTGACAGTCGAGCTTAGGGTTTAGGGTTTAAGGTTAAGGGTTTGGGGTCATTCGGGGTTCAGGCTGAGTTGTTTTCTCGCCGGCATCAAGGTAGTGTTTTTTATCGACACTTCTCACAAGAAGCAGGTTGAGGTTGAGGGGCTTGGACTCAGGTTTAATCTTGCCTTCTGCATGAAAGAACGAAGAACACCGAACCCTGAACCCCGTTGTCTACAAATCCTCTAAACCCTGCATTCTAAACCCCACTGTAAACCTCACACCCACTAAACTTAAACTCACCCCTTAAACCCCCAAACCCGAGAAACCCTGAACACAAAACGGTTTAGCCACATGTAATTACAGAATCCGAAGTCGCTCTACAGCAGAGTAAGACTCTCGCATGCTGCGCGTTTCTGTCTGCCAGCATCCGACTTGGATCCTAGCCTGGCCAGAGAACCCTAAACCCTAAACAACCCTAAACCCTAAACCCTACCCATACGCCCCATAGTAGTTCCTTTTTTGGGGATTCCCTAGTAGAATCCCACATATAAGCCACAAAGAGGAACTACTATGGGGCCCATGGGTAAACCCTACAACCTTATAAACCCTAAACCCTAAGCCCCTAAACCCTAAACCCTACAACCTTAGAGCCCAAAACCCTAAACCCTACAACCTTAGACCCTAAACCCTAAACCCTAAGCCCTAAACCCCAAGCCCCCTAAGCCCTAAACCCCGAACCCGACGTGCCCGGAGAATCTCCGGGGGCGCCACCTCCCGCCTGGGTAACTCGTCCGACGCGGCTGCGATCCGAAGCCTCGGACACGGTTTGGAGTTTAGGGTTTAGCGTTTTCAAATTTAGGGTTTAGGGTTTAGAAATTTAGGGTTTAGCTGTCTGGCGCGTAGTAGGGAATGGGGGAATGGGATATAGGGACTATAGGATAAGGGACCTTAAAGGGACTATCATAGGGATCCATTCCCCCATTCCCTACTAAGCACCAGACAGTTAGAAGTTTAGGGTTTTGGGTTTTGGGTTCAGGGCGCGCTCAACGGAGGACAGGTAAAGGATTGATTTTTTGTTAGGCCGTTCAGGGTTTAGGGTTCAGGGGTTCCAGGGCTCACCGAAGCTCGATAGTGAGGCGAGGATCATGGCCACGTGCGCAACAACTGAAAGAATTACATGGCAAAGGACAACAACGGCGCAGCTTAGGTACCGGGGATGTATGCTCTACATGTTTCAGGTATAGATTTTACATATGTCTTATATAGAACAAGCAGCAGTTTACACATGTTATGTAAACCTTAGTAGATGACCCAGGCAGAGAAATACAACTCCTGAAAAGACACGTCAAGTTTGCTGCTACAGATCGACGCTAAGCTCAGCCGCCTTCACTGGAAGCCCTTCAATATAGTGCCATATACTTACAATATTTTACAATATAATACCATATAATACAATATAATACAATATTATACAATACAACTAGAATATCATATACTTATAATGAAATATATACGTAATATGATATTATACGAAGAGTGTAAGGCTCAGGGCTTTGGCCTCGGGCCACGGGATGCAACCCCAGGCGCGGAGTCTGCCACACTCTGGAAGAAGTCGCTGAAAATGGCGCTGAAGGAATCACCACCAGTGTCATACCTCGGAATGGGGTTTAGGGTTTAGGGTTTAGGGTAGAGGGAATCACCGCCAGTGTCATACCTCGGCCCGAAGAGGAGGTCTCTACACATCTCGAACACCATAGCACCCAGAAGTCTGAAAAGAGAAGGAGCCAAGGCTACACCGCCAGACCTAAACCCAAATCTTAACCAACAAACACTCAAACCCTGACCCCGCCACCCTTAACCTGCAAGCGAATCCGCTGAATACGAGAAAACCGAACGGCCAGGAAATTCGAGAGCTTAGGGCTTAGGATTTGGGTTTAAGGTTGAGGCTTCAGGGAATTGGGGCTTTAGGGCTTTAGGGTAAGGGTTAGAGTTCTGGCTGAGACATGAAAAGGGGTAGATCCTTGTTTCCCCTGTCAGAGGTTGGGAGAAGCTAATAAGCCTTCAGGCGTTTCGGTCGCAACAAGGAATGCCAAGCAAACGCAGGGTACACTGAAGTTACGGCTCTCAGAGGAGATGTGTCGAGAGACCGCAACAAAACCCCAAATCCTAAACCACCTGCCCAGATAAACCTAAAGTATCCTGATCTCAATCTCCAGCGCCTAAACCCTAAATCCTAAACCCTATAAAGCCTAAACCCCTAAACCCTAAACCCTAAATCCTGAACCATGAACCCTGAACCCTAGCCTGCCGCCTCCAAATTCCGGGAAAGCGACTCCTCTTCCATCGCCTGGGTTCGTTGCCAGCGGCTCTGCGAATTGCGGCCCGCCTGGCCTTTCGAGAGGAGCTTAGGGTTTTTAGGGTTCTTAGGGTTCTTAGGGTTTAAGGGTTTAGGGTTTAGAGTTGAGGTTTTGGGGTTTCGGGTTTTAGGGTTTAGGGTTTAGGGGTTGAGGGTTTAGAGTTCAGGTTTTGGGGTTTAGGGTTTAAGGGTTTAAGGGTTTAGGGTTTAGAGTTCAGGTTTTGGGGTTTCGGGTTTTAGGGTTTAGGGTTTAAGGGTTTAGGGTCCAAGGTTTAGGGCGAGGAGTTTAGGGTTCAGGGTTTAGGGTTTAGGGCTCAGGGTTCAGGGTTTCGCCGGCGCAAGAAGCCGAAACCCTACGCAACCCTAGGGCCCAGGGCCCTTCAAGGGCTCATGAAGTGCTGTAGTGTGAACTTGGAGGGTCGGGAGACTTAGTAAGTCGGGAATAAGTAGACTTATAAGCACCCTAAAAGGGACCCTAATTGGGGTTATAGTACTTATAAGTCTATAAGATAACCATTTACTATGTCCCCCGACCCTCCAAGTAGTGTGAAGAGAGCCCCGTCAACCATCAAGGGATGAAAGGAGGGACCCTTAAAGGGACCCTTGTGGTTATATAGGCGCTTTATGAGACTAGATATATGAGGTATACAAAGGTTAGATAAGGTATTTGGATGAGGGGTCCCTCCTATTGTCTCTTAAAACCACGAATAGAGAAACACAAGGAGATATGAGACGTACACGGAAGAACGCCTCGTGGTCTTGTCAACTGGAACTAGCTCCACTGTGACTCGTTACAACAGCATTTATGCAATAAAACTGCTGACCGACGTTGAGCTTGCTGCCGTTGATTTCTGAGTCTGCCTTGATAAGAATGACAGACGCCATAATCACCATATTCAGACTTCAGCCATCATGAGTTTCCTGACCATCACGATGCCTCAGGTTGCTTCATGCATCAAGGCGACTCATCATCATTATGATAATGATGCCCTAGACTCTGAAGCTCTAAACCCTAAGACCTAACCCTAAGCTGTCAGACCCTAACACCCTATAAGACACTAACCCCAGACCAGATGCACCGAGAACCTGAGAAACTTCCCGATCGGGGGTCCAAAAGCAACACACACAAAGGATCCTGGTGCCAGGGTGAGGGTTTAGGGTTTAGCGTTTAGAGTTTAGGGTTTAGGGGGCCGAAAGGGGTGATTCCGGAAAAAGGACACTGTGAGATACTCATGCTAAAATATATTGACCTAGGGGTATGATGTAGCATCATATTTTATGAAGCCGCACATTTTACCTGAACCCTAGAATATAATTCGGTGTTCTTTTTTGGCCCCTTACAGCGCTCCTATACTTCAGGCTACTTTCAGGGTTCCTTTACGGGGCTCCTAGAACAAGGGTACCCTAAAAACCTAAGCCCTTAACCCTAAAACAGTGCTTCCCTAAACCCTAAACCCTAAACCCTAAACCCTAAACCCTAAAAGCCAGGTCGCCTGTACGGCGGCCCTGGGTTTCGGCCCCACGCTGGGCGCCTTGGCACCGTGTGAGGTTTCTGGGTTTCGGGGCTTTAGAGGATGAGGGGTTTGGGGCTTTGGGGTTTTATAGTGCTTCGTGGTTAAGGGTTAAGGGTTCAGGGTTTAGGGTTTAACTGTTACGGCTTCGGATTTTGCGTTTATCTTGACAGCTTCAGGGTGCAGGGTTTAGTGGTTCAGGGGGTTAGGGCTTGAGGATAAAGGTGCCGTGTATATGCGTGTACATATATATATATATATAGAGAGAGATATCTACATATACATAAACAGATGCACGTGTGTATATATATATATATGTCTTTTATTTACGTAT